GATGTTTGAGAGAAATTTCTAAAGGCAAAACTCACCTTTTCCAATTTTTGCACAAAACTCTTCTCAGCATGTGCCTGAGGTGTCCCACACAAGGTCTTAATTTAGGTGTATATCAAAATATAGGCATTAATCAAAATTTAGATTTCATCAAAAGTGTTCATGATAATCTGTTTTTGTGGGTAACTCCTCCTATGCAATAACTGCACAGATTAATTTGCCGCAGAAACAGCCTCAGTTGTGTATTGGCTGATAAAAATAAGCCAAAAAGGCTGTAAGGCTGATAAAAATAAGCCTTTCTTCCACTGAATCAGATGCATTTACTGAACCTCTGCTTGCTTCTGGGGGCTGTTAAGGTTCACTGAAATCTTACACCTTCACGTGGGTGCAAGCTGCTGCACCTAAACCTGCCTGGGCATCTGGAACCTGCAAAAGGGTCGTTCTGAGCTCTGCATTCCCCACTGGATCCACCACTACACCTCCCAGACAACTTGATAACTGTCCCTGGTCATAGTCACCACTCTCTCACCCTGCACTTTTTTGTGGTGTTCCTTGATTTATGGAATGATTTGACATGACACCGCCTCAGTGCAGGGATCTTTGCAAGCTGTGCACATCATTTCTGTTTTCTGCACCCATTTCAGACAAGGGCCGTGCTCCCCTCCACACATTAATCCCACAGGTTTGTCCACTACCCCTGGAAAGACTATAATCATGTGGGCTGCCCATGTCCAAAGTCAGCCTTGCCATCACATTTTCTGCCAGATTTTGGGTTTTCTTTCAATTGTTCAGTGCCACCACCCTGCTGCCACTCACTGCTGCTTGCAGCAGCCTGATATCACCCTCTGCCAACCATTGGGATGTTGCTGGTGTTTTTATTTGATCTTAAAAGTGGTGCTTGTGAGTTGTGTTGTCGTGGAGTTTCTGGCAATGCAGGCAAAAATTTGTTGCAGAAGTTCCCAGGGATTTCCACACCAGGCTCACAAAATACAGCACTTGCCCTTTGTCAGGAGGAGCTGTTTATTCCTCAAGGTGTTGGAGGTCTGTGCAGCCTGGTCACTAATAAAATTCAAAGGCTCAGTGTTGGGTTTATGACTTCCCCATGACATGAATGCTCCGTGGTAATGTGTTAGAATACTCTGAAGTTAATGCTTGAAACTGTGAAATTGAGATTTTCATAAACTAGGCAGGGGCTTCAGTATCAAAAATTAGTATCTGCACTGTCCTCATTGATTATAAGTATTCTTACTAGAATTTTAAAGCAAAATGTCCTAATTCCATGCTAACACCTGGGATACTGAACACCACACTTTATCTCATGGAAAAATAACCTGTAATTTTACAGATTTTTTTATGGTTCATTTGACATTTCCCAAGGCAAATATCAAAACCAGACTTAAAACTCAATGAATAACCAAAGAAACCTTTTCAAAAGTTCCCTAAGTGAGGAATTAAAGTGTCATTATTTAACCAACTAATCAGTGACATTTTTTCCTACATGCCTACAGACATGGATGCAAATGTAAACAGAGTGTGCACTGTCAGGAGAGACTGCTAATTGGTTTTTCTTAATTTCTGGAGGTTTTAATATTGTCTTTAACCAAAACCTCTCAAAGAACAGTGAAATGTCCATCAGATCTGCTCTGGAGTATTCTCTGTGCTGGAATATTACTAATTTCCAAACCAGAAAATAAATTATTTCTTGAATGGCAAGCTTTCTGTGGGACTTGGTGAGGCGACGTGCCCATGCATATTTTTATGTTTACATACCCACAAATATCTCTGCATATATTTCCAACTTTTGGTACGAATTCCTGTCATATCTTCTGTACATAGGCAACAGATGTTCCAGATTAACTCAAGCTCCTGGAATTCAGATGCACTTGACAGGAACTGGACTCCTCACCAAGTGAGTAACCACAGTTCTGTGTCTGGAAATCATTTCACATCTGCTACTTATATATGCTACAGCATGACTCAAACAGAGCTGCAGAAATTGGGCTTGCAGCCTAAATGATTTCATTTGATTTCTTTTTTCCCCCCTCCTATTTGCAAGTCAGCCTTATTCCATTTAATAAGAAATGGTTACACTCACATTCAGTCATGTAGCAGAAGCAGTGACAGCCAACTCAGAAATGACCCCTTTTTCTCCACTTTAGATAGGGAAGTGCAGCTAGATAGCTAGCCTGAAAAAAAAAAAAAAAGAAAAAGACATTTCTGCTTGTGAATTAGGACATGTCTGTTTTCTGATGGGATCTTCAGGAGCATGGGCAAGCAGAATTGTTTTTCCCCTCCTTCCCAGAATGAAAGCAGTGACATTTTTCTCCTTGGAAGTCTCTATGCAGCTCTTCAAAACCAGCTGCAAAACCTGGACTTTTAGAAATAAATGATTCACCATTTGAAGAAATACACAACCCTGAATATCTGTGCTGTTAATTCGCTACACTCTACCAAAAAAAAATTATTGAATTTCTTATCTTAAAGAGTGTTGAGTGTTGATCTGAGTGTTGCTCATCTGAATTCATGCAATCCACAAAAACTTTTCTTCCCCTGCCAAGTGAGATTTTTTTCCTATTTCTGCACTTTCAGCTTTACAATCTCAGCAGTTTAAAAGTGCACTATTTCCAAGGCACTCCTTTTCTTTCTCACTCTCTCTCCTTTAACTGCATCACCTGTCATGGACAGGCACTAAAGCCATAGGAAAAACAAGCATTTAAACCACTACCTCTGCTTGTGCACAGCACTGTGAGAGAGAGAAAAGGAGGGGAAATATGAAGATAAATCCTCCCGCTGCTTTGACTTTCATCAATAATTCAGGATGCTAAAATGATTCTTTCTAGATTCTTTCCTGTGTATTTGTTAGGTAAGCCTTGTAAGCCCAGTCTCAGGCCTTTGTCTTGCTGCCTGACATCTTATTACTTTCAACAAGAAATATGGGATGGCTCCCCAGGCAAGAGAAGGGAAGATTAATAATGACTTACATTAAAGGTCTTCTTTTTTTGCCATTCATCTTTTCCCCCACTCAATTTTCATATTAAAAGTGAAAAACAAATACAAGAGCTGTGGACTTTTCAACTTTTTTTTCCCTGCAGTCTTTGTGGCTGGCTGGACATTTCTCAGAGGTAAAGCTCCTCTGGCATCAAAAACATTTGATACTCCATTTTTACCCTGAATGATCTTCCACATCAACAGAAGAAATAAAGGCTTCCTACCATTACCTGCATGTAAATTGTAAATTCCCACCAGAATATGATTTAATAAATCAGAGCCTTTGGGGTGCCAATGGCCTCACAGTTCACATCCTCCTACTGTGGTGAGAAAAACCAAAACAATTCTTCCATAAATCTCTACATTTTAAAATGGATTAATGTGTTGGTGTATTTACAATCAGTGCAAGTAATACTTACTTTTTTTTTAGGTGAACAGCTAGACTTATAAAGTATGTGTTTAACTCCTCCCACAGACAAATTAATGAGTCTTAATTGCTTTTCTGCATTAGCATGTGAGAAATATCAGCTGTGTATTGTAATTGTACATTTAACAGTGAAAATTTGTGACTCAGGTCTTGTTATAAATGTATTTTAAGGCCTGTAAGAAAGAATTTTTTTTTTAAATTAAGCTATACATTGCAAGCCACAGCTACTACAATACAAGCTAAAGAACAGATTATACCATGAATTTAAGTAAACAGCTGTGGAGGTACTAATATTAGGAAAAACAGTAGTATCACACAATTAAATGTTGTTTATGTAATAACAATACCAAGCAAATAACTTGTAATACCATTATTTTTCAGTACAGATTTTATATTAGTAGCATTTCTAAATAAGATTAAAAATGTAATCTCTGGGAAGTGGTGGCTGAAATAAAATAAACCTAAGAACACAGAAGCACTAAGTATTTCCAGGTGGAAAAACCATTTTCTATTATAATATAGATTAAAATTGTTAATTTGGGGGCATGGGGGGACAGTTCCAGAAAGGGCTCAGTGAAGGAAAGCTCTTAATAACATGAATATAACCAAGATCTGAAGGCAAATTACAAAGAAATTTTGTTATTCTTTCTCTCTCTCTTTGATGCATGCCCCTACACTGTTTGATGAATAAACAGAAGGAGAAATGTCTCAAATTGTTACTTTAGAGACAAATTTACTCTTGTTGAATTGTGTAATCTCTGTCAGACATACAACAGGAACAGCAGGAACAATGGGACCTACTGAGAATATAAAGTGATAAACCTTTGTTCTCCTTCCATCAGAATTTATTTAAACTCGTGGGCTTGGGGGGGAATTTTATTCTTGCTTTCTGTAGAAAAAGTAATATATTGATAAGGAAAATAGATTTTAACACTGCAACTGACATGGACCATGAGAGAGATGTGAGGAGTGAGAGAAATTTAGCTTTGAAAACGCAGCATGAAAGGTGGTGTCTCGCCACTTGGTGTCACTGTAGCATTTGATGTTTTTAATTCCTTGCACATTTTTTTGTAGCTGTCCTTGTCTCCGGAATTTTTTTTATTATTATTTTTATCGTGGTCATCGCTGCTGTTTTTAATCAAGAATAAAAGGTAGCCCCTAGTAGCCCTCAAATCTAACAGTTAATCATGTTGAGTATTAAACAAACAGCACCAAGCCTTGGATAGACCTCATACAGCTCAAGGTTTGGAAATCTGTCAAATCTGGTACTGTAGCTGTTGGGTGAAACTGATCAAGTTTCAGCCCTCTTCCCTTTACCTCTACACCCTCTTCCCCCTTCCTGAAATAATTATGTCCTGATGCTGAAGCCTCTGTGCAGATCTTTCTCTCAGTGACACAGGCAGCATTCCACATTTTACATAATAACAGTTTTATTTGATAAATATTCAGAGAAAAAACTCATTTCAGACAGTGATTGCCTCCGTGCTGTGTACACAGAATATCAGATGAGAGTTTCTGTGTCTCCTATTGCCCCCCAGGTATTAAGAAAAAGTAGGAAATGCTTTATCTGTTGCAGAGAACAGAAGTATTGAGTGTTAAAGAATGATTTCCATTTTCTTGATCAAGTTTCTATTCACTTGCTGGTTAAACAGGCCAAAGTGTAGGCACAGCCAAGAATATTGTCCTGATCTCTTGCTGTCTGTGTGAAAGAACTGTGTCTCCTGGAGGGATGTTGCGAAAGAAAAATACTCTCTGTTTGGGTTGACTTGTTCTCTTCTATGGGATTCACCAGCCCAGGCAGTTTTCTCACAGCACCTTTTTCATTTTCCTTGCCCACTACAGGTCAGCTGATCTGTGTATTCAGCGATGCCGGTCATGAGGTGAGTCAGAAAGGAACATTTGATGTTTCTCATGTTTAAGAATCGTGGAGCAAGCCGTGAGCTTGGCCTTGTGGCAGTAGAGTGTAGAGGGCCAGCTGGGTAGGCTGAGAGAAAATCCATTTCCATGTCTGCAGCAGCAATAACAAAGGCATCGCTGGCTATTTCCTAATTTTCCATATCAGGTCTTTAAAAGAACTAAAAGCCCCGATTTGCAGAGAGAATGTTGCTCCTTGATAGTAGCCAGTGTGGAATATGCAATTCAGAAAAATGTGCACTTCTGTTGAATTGGCCCATTTTAATTTAGTTGCAGTGACTTAGAATCCCATTGCTATCAAAGTTTCTGACTTGTCCTTAGCAGAGCGGGTTGTAGAAATAGAGCTGAATAGAAATAAGCACTGGATACAAATAAGGTTATAAATTATAGATGTTATGAATTTGGTTCAATTGGGTTTGGCAAAAATAGGGAGTTGTCCTGGATTTGGTGGAGGCAATGGACAGACAAAGGGTGATTGGACCAAGACAACAATCATTCAACGCCCTGAAGAAATGATTTGCCCAGAATGAACATCGCTAATGGCAATCAAAGCACCGAGATTCTGCCAATCAGTGCGCGGATCCAAACCCCACCAATCCTGGACCTAAGGGGTGTTATAAAAAGGGGAGTTTTCAGTTGGGCGGGGCTCTTTCTGTTCCGTGGGCGGTGGGATCGGTTTGCAGGAGAGAGAACCCAGTGTGTTCATAACACACTGGTATCTTTGAGCTGTTGTGAGGGGGCTCAAGCTTATCTTGGACCCTCCGTTCCTTACAGCTTATTTTTAAATAAACGAGAGCCTTTTTCATTTTTCTTAAAAATCTGGCCTCGTTCATTCATTACATCTTCTGGGGCCTCGTCCAGGATAGGCCATGCCCCTGAAACAGTCTGGGGTAGGCCAGGACCTGGGAGACTCGTCCAGCCACCTTTTTGGCTGCCGGATTTCGGACTACATTGGACCGCGGAAGGGAACACGCCTATTCCCGAGGCCGGAAGGAACAAAACAGCTCAAAAAGGTAAGCCCTCCGAGAGGGAGCGGGGCTCATGTTGCCTCTGAGTAACGTGAGTGGGGTTTAAGGTAATAGGGGGTGCGAAGTGCGTGTGTGTGACTGAGACGGGGCCTGTGAGTACAGACCCCCGAAGTGAGTGCAGACCTCCTAGTACCATGGTTCCGGACTCCCCTGAGGGGGCCTGGCCGGGAACGGAGGGAAGCAAGTGTTGTAGAGTGTGTGTACCCCTACGGACCCCCGGCAGTAGGGGAGACGGGGAGTGCCTACCCATAGCCGCCCTGGCCCACTCAGGCTCCCGTTCCTCCGATGACTGGAGGCTCCCAGAGGTGGTTTCAGCCATTGGCCCGAGCTGTTCCCCCTCAAACTAGGACCCCAGTTGAAGGGGGTCATAGAGGGGGACATACCCAGTACCCTGAGCGAGGATCCCAGCAGAAGCGGGTTGTAGGGGTATCTGGGGGGATTAGTGGGGGTGGACTTGTCCACTGAGGGGTAAAGCTCTGACTGCTAGCTCAAACCACCTGGAGGGCTGTTCCTCAGGGATATTCCGAGGGTAGTCTAACCCCTGGGGAACTAGGATATTGGAGGTGGGAGAAAATACTCTCACACGGAGACCACTTGGTAGGGTGGCCACCGTGAGGGGGAGTGCCCCTTTTTCGAGGCCGGTGAAGGGGAGGGTGCCCAACCCAAAGGGAAGTAGGGACCCTCTGAACTAGGATCCCAGTGGAAAGGGGTCACAGGGGGGAAGTAGGCTCATCCTGAGCTAGGACCCCAGCTGAACAGGGTTGTAGGGGTAGCTGAAAAGTCTTCGCAGGAGCGGTGACCCACAGAGGGAAGGTGGGCCGCCAGCTGCGGAAGGGCCCTTCCAGTCACTAGGACCCAATTTAGGGTGGATTTTTCTTTTTGTCAGTTGAAATTGGAACATCTAGGGAGTGAGGTTTGGGGGTGAGGGCGAACCAAAAGTCCCCCGACCGCGCCTCTAGTCCTATGAATACCCTAACGCCAGCCACCAGCACTGTCCAAAGTATCCCTACCCCAATTATAGCTCCTAAAACTTTTCAAAATCCCCCTCTTTATTTTTTCCCCCATATTTCAACCCATACCTCAAAATACCTCTTCCTCTGCTTTTGGTCTTGGAACAATAGAAAATATTCCATTTTATGTATTCCATATACCCCAATATCCTAAAAATCAGATACAAGAGGAATATTTAACAACAAGGGCCCAAGGAGAAAAGACAGTTTGCTGCTGCAAAAATAAAGAGGAAAATAAATTAAATGAACATGTAAAGGGTCACACTTATAACACCAGGTTCCTGGCAAAGAAAATACAAGAAGATCTTGAAAAGGCTGGAAGGTTATTCCCTCTGAGGGAGGGGCCTATGGGGGGAGCCAGAGGGGGTATTGGATTTGTAAATGCACCATTAACAGCATCTGAAGTTAGGAATTTTTAAAATAATATTAAACCCCTATTAGAAGATCCAATAGGCATCTCACAGCAGTTGGATCAATTCTTAGGACCCAATATCTATATGTGGGAAGAATTAAACACAATCCTAGAAATATTATTTTCCTTAGAGGAGATACAAATGATTAGAGCAGCAGGGATGAAGATTTGGGAAAGGGAAAATTGAGGTGGTCCTAGGGGAAAAGACAAAATGCCGCTTAACACACCTAACTGGAACCCGAATCAGGAGGAAGGAAGGGCAAGTATGAGGCAGTACAGAACTTTAAGAGGGAAATGAGAGGCAGTACCCAGAACAAACAATGCAAAATTAGCTTTTGATAGCCAACAAGAACGAGAGGAGTCACCTAGTAATTGGCTGGAAAGGTTAAGAAGGAACTTTCAATTATATTCAAGTGTGGATCCGGACAGTCCAGAAGGACAGTTAAAATACAATTTGTAACAAAAGCATGGGTTGACATCAGGAGGAAATTAGAAAAGTTGGGTGATTGGCAGGAAAAAGGAATGAATGAATTATTCAGGGAGGAACAAAAAGTATATTTGAGGAGGGATGAGAAAAAACAACAAAGGCAAAAGTCATGGTGGCGGTAGCAAGAGAAAGTGAAGGACTTGGAAATAATGAACCAACTGGAGAAGGTAAAGACAGGTATATTGGGTCTAGAGGATGTGACTTTAGAGGACCATTAATTGGAAAAAGCAAACATATTAAAGATAGCAGAACACTGTGGACAGAAGAGAGACCACCTTGGGCAGAGGTTATATGTTTTTACTGCGGAGAGAAGGGACACACAAGGAATTTCTGTAAAAAGAGAAAGCTAGATGAAGCTATATCACAAGAACAGGACACCCTAGGAAGGAGATTAAAAGGGGATGATTAGGGGTGTCGGGGGCTCTATGCTCTGAGAGACTTTGGTCATCAAAAGAGCCCCTGGTAAATTTGGAAATTGGCCCTCAGAGCGAAGAAGCTGAATTTTCAGTAGATACTGGAGCAGACCAATCAAGTGTTGTAAGAATTCCTAAGGGATGTAAACTGAGTAATCAGACATACAAAGTAAGTGGTGCTGAAAACAACCCCTTTGAAGTACCTATTATTGAGGGTGTAACAATAAAAGGAAGTTTCAGGGAAGGCTGTACCAACTTATTATATATGTCAGAACTAGATTCTAATCTTCTAGGCCGAGAGTTACAAGTGCAACTAAAAATAGGAGTGGTACTCGAAGGAAGACATATGGTGGCAATAATGATGGTTTTGAGAGAGGAAGATGAAAAAGGAATCTATCCGAAGGTGTGGGCAGAGGAAGGAGGACATGGATTGTTGGACGTTACACCCACAGAAATTAAAATGAAACCAGACCTTCCTCCGATAAGAGTAAAACAATATCCAATTTCAGTAGAAGGAAAATAGGGACTAACACCAGTAATTAAAAATCTGATAAAGGAAGGGATATTAGAGCGGTGCATGTCTCCACACAACACCCTATTTTACCCCTTAATTTTACCCATTAAGAAACCAGATGGTACATATTTAGTTCAAGATCTATGGGAAATATATAAGCAGACACTTACACGATATCCAGCAGTTGCTAACCCATACAATTTATTGAGTAAGGTACCACTGACATGCATGGTTTAGCATTATAGATCTAAAGGATGCTTTTTGGTCGTCCCCATTGGAGAAAGAAAGTAGTAAATGGTTTGTGTTTGAGTGGGAAGATGACGAGACTGGGAGAAAACAACAACTACAATGGACAAGGTTGCCACAAGGATTTACAGAGTCACCAAATTTATTTGGGCAAACCCGAGAAGAGATAATGAGACAATTTAAACCCAAAGGTAGTTCCCAAGTTCTAGAATATATAGATAATTTGTTAATCTCTGGAGAACAAAAAGAGGTACAGAAAACAACAGTTAACTTATTAAACTTCCTGGGGAAAAAGGGGTTAAAAGTATTGAAAAGAAAATTACAATTTGTTGAATCTGAAGTAAAACATTTAGGACACATAATTGGAAAAGGATATAAGAAATTAGACGCTGATTGAATTCAAGGGGTACTATCATTACCAGCACGTAAAACAAAAACGGATGTGAGAAAATTACTTGGATTGATTGGATATTGCAAATTATGGATAGACGGTCACACAAAACTGGTCAAATTCCTGTATAATAAATTGGTCGAGGATGAGCCTATCAATTGGAATAAAGATGAAGATAGAAAACTAGAATAATTAAAAGAGAAATTAGCAAACGCTCCAGTGCTAAGTTTACCAGACTTAAACAGACAGTTTGAATTGTTTGTGAATGTTGAGGACAGGATAGCTTATGGAGTTATAGTACAAGACTGGTGTGGAGTGCCAAAACCCATTGCCTATATTTCAAAACTACTTGATCTACTTGTCAGAGGTTGGCCTACATTTCTACAAGCGGTACCTGCAAGCGTAGTTCTTACTGAAGAAGGCTACAAGTTAACCCTAGGTAACAAGATCAAAGTGTATACACCCCATGATTTGAAAAGTATATTAAGTAAAAGAGCATGCCAGTGGATCTCAGATAGCGGACTTTTAAAGTATGAACTAATTTTAAACAATAGCGAAAAATATAGAACTGTCTACAACAAGAATACAAAACCCTGCACCGTGTTTATATGGGGAACCAAAAGAGGAACTAGAACATCACTGCCTTGAAGCTATAGATTTGCAAATAAAAGTCAGAGAAGACTTATTAGAACAACCTTTGCCAGAACTTGATGTGTTTTTTATAGACAGTTCATCTCGAGTGATTGATGGGAAACAAGCATCAGGATATGCTATAGTAGATGGTCGTACAATCACAGCTGTAGAAAAAGGAAAGCTTCCCATAAATTGGTCTGCACAGTGCTGTGAGATCTATGCATTATTAAAAGGATTTAGGTGGCTCGATAAAAGAGTGGTACTATCTATACAGACTCTAAATATGCTTATGGGGTAGTACACACTTTTGGGAAAATCTGGGCAGAAAGAGGATTCATTAATTCAAAAGGAAAAACCCTAATTCATGAGGGCCTTGTAAGAGCAGTGCTAGAAGCTTTAAAAGGACCCAAGGAAATTGCCATCGTACATCTAAAAGGACATCAAAAAGGTGATACTAAAGAAATAAAAGGGAATAATGTGGCCCACATTACTGCAAAAAGAGCCACTTTGGAGGACTCAGAAAAGATCTTTAAGTTAAATGAAATAGGAGATGGGAATGAGGAAGGTAAAGAAAAGGAGAAGATCCCTATATTTGATGAAAAAGAGCAAGAGAAGCTACAAAGACATGGTGCAACCCGAAATGAGAAAGGAAAATGGGAGATGCCAGACAGTAGGCAAGTACTAAATAAGGCATTAACTAGAAAAATATTAGAGGACCTACATGCCTCAAATCATTGGGGGACCCAAGCCTTGCATGACCATTTTATGAGAACTTATGTATGTATTGGGGTATGGGAAATTGCAAAAATAATAACAAGAGATTGCATGATATGTCAAAGAATAAGTAGAAAAGTAATGAGAAGACTGCCTCAAGGGGAAAGAGAGTTATCCAAAAGACCATTCTAATGTATACAAATAGATTTTATGGAACTACCACAAATACAGAGGTGTAAGTATTTATTGGTAATAATAGATCATTTGACCCACTGGGTAGAGGAGTACCCAACAACGAGAGAAACTGGAGAGACTGTAAGCAAGATTCTATTAGAAAAAATCATACCCCCATACGGAATAATAAATACCATTGATTCAGATAGAGGTGTCCCCATTTTACAGCTAAAATAATACAACAACTAGTAAATGCCTTAAACATCACCTGGAAATTTCATATGCCCTGGAGGCCCCAAAGCCCTGGAAGGGTGGAAAGAATGAATCAATCCCTTAAGATTACTCTTACAAAATTAACAGGAGAAACAAAAATGAATTGGCTGAAATGTCTCCCCCTGGCACTAATGAAAATAAGAACTAGACCAAGAGCAGACATGAGTTTCACTATATGAGATGATGTTTGGCTTACCATTTTTAACAACTTTGGGAAATGCAGGAACATATGAAGAAGGAGAATTGATAGTGAGAAAATATATAAAGACCATAACCAGCACTTTAGAATAATTAAGAATTAAGGGATACCTTTCTCAAACTACTCCTATTGATTTCAAAATCCATAAATTTCAACATGGTGACTGGGTATTAATCAAGGCCTGGAAAGAACAACCATTAATCCCAAAATGGGAAGGTCCATTTCAAGTTTTATTAACCACAGAGACTGTCATACAAACACAAGAGTGAGGATGGACACATGCAACCCGATTGAAAGGGCCGGTTTCTGCACCTAAGGAAGTATCTCCAACTTTACCTAAACCAAAGAACACATTAGACACACCACAGGAAGATACATAAGTTATAAGTTATAGAATTGTTATGTAAAAGTTTAATTGAAAGTTGTTAACATTCTCTTAATGAAATTAATATCTAGAGGAGAGGAAAATGTAAACTGTAAAAATATATGTTAATCTCTGGTATCTCTAGTTGCAGATCCAACGATCCACGAAAAAGATAGAGCATTCTCCCTCGCACCTAGCAATCTGGCCCTAAAAAGACAGAAGAAACAAGTTGATACAAAAGGGAAAGTAAACTCCTGCAACAGTAACTGGTAAGAATATCAACTTGATAAATGAGGGAGAGGAGAAAAAAGGGGGAGGGGGCAAGACTGGATCAGGTTACATTCTTGCCACAAAGAGTTGCTGATCCTCCGCTGAGGGGAAACATGATGGGGAGAGTGGCCTGTACCGGACTCCCATTCATATATATCCTCCTGCTTATGATTGTTGATAAAGGAGGGACGATACCGTGTTAAAAATGCTATTACCCTTTACATGCAGGAGAATCTCAGACTGCCATCCTCAGAACACACACTAACCCGAGTCCTACTTGTATCAATTTTTTGTCAGAACAAGCTGCATGGAGGACGACAAAACATACTGGCTATTCGAAAATATAGGGAATTTTAACAGAAATTGTTGGGGGAATCCCCTATAAAGGAGAAATAGATCTGTTCTGAAAGAAAACCTATGGAAGAAAAAGTGAAACATGAGGCTTATGAACCAGATTTAACTGAAGAAAAAGAAATAAAGGTGGTGATTAAGAAGGCAAGAAGCAAGCTCCTGCTTGAAGTCAGGGATTTTGGTGCCCTTGTTGTTTAGTTGCTTTTTTGCCTCTTCAGGCAGAGCAGTCAGTAGCAGAGCAGACAGGTGCTCTGAGTCCGCCTGATTTTTGACTTTTAATAAGAAGCAAGGAGATGATTGTGTTGTCCATGAAGCTGTGGGGAGCCACTCTTGTCTTGTGCGGCAAAAGAAACAAACTGCAAAGTTCTGAACTATTCTTTGCAGGCAAAAACCAGAGGCTGCATGTGCCTATTTGTTGCTATAGGACACAAGACAACACGACACAGACACACTGCTGCTATCAGGGCAGGAAAAAAGAGCATTTATTTTCTGACTCCTACATTTATAGATTTCCAAAGGTGACAGAGGATTGGAGGGTGAAAGTGCCACCTCTCCAGGGACACTGCACAAACCAACAGTCCATCAAGTTTCTCCTCCTCCATAAAAGAATGCAAAACAATACGTTGCTTACAGAAAGTGTGTGAGAAAGTTTGATTCAAGAATGCAAACATCAGAAGGCTTAGAAAATCTTAAAAAATCAGGGCGACATCTCACCCTTCTCAGTTTAAAAAGAAAGCAAAAATGAACAATGTGAAAAAGAACCATGAACAAGATTCAGCGCCCATCCATGGAGGAATCATCGGAGTGATCACTCGCGTCATCTGCATCCGAATCATCACTCAATGCCTTTCAGGTTGGTCACGGCTTCTATTTTGCCTGTCAGCCGGATTCTGTCTCTGCGGTTGGGGTCAGGGCGAACACACTTTGAAAGCACTCAGCGTACCCCGGTATCTGTGGATACACAAGCATACCCACGCCCCAAAGCGGTAAGGTCATAGGGACCTTCCAACTGCTTGGTGACTAAATTCCGCACCTGAACCTTCGCCCGAGGCTGATGTGCCTCGTCCACAGCCTGCAACGAGAGATGGTGATTCAAAACAACAGGGTTATTTGAGTGCTGCGGCGCCGTAAGATGATTGATGGTGTACAATGCCTTTGCCAACCGACTGTGCGGGGTTTCACCCTGCATTCCCCGTTTTTGTTTTTGAAGAACCCGCTTCAGAGTACCATGAGCGCGTTCTACAATAGCTTGGCCAGTCGGAGAATGAGGGATACCAAACTTGTGTGACACACCCCACAGCTGCAGGAACTGCCGCACCTTTGCGATGCGTAAGCAGGACCATTGTCGGTCTTCACAGCAGAAGGTATGCCCAGAACAGCAAAGGCCTGCCTCCAGTGGTCAAGGACATCACGGGTCTTTTCTCCGGTGTGAGCAGAAGCCCACATCGCAGAGGAGAACGTGTCCACCGTGACATGCACATACTTGAGCCGGCCAAACTCGGCAATCTGGGTGACATCGGTCTGCCAAAGCTCCAAGGCCATAAGGCCTCTGGGGTTTAGCCCTGCCGGTAAAGGCAGAGCCAGCGCATGGCAGTCATCACATGACTCAAGAATGTCACAAGCCTCAGTTGGCATCAGCTGAAACTGCTTCTGCAAAGTATGTGCGTTCTGGTGGAAAAACCCATGCGATGCCTTGGCCTGCGCGAGTGTATCAGGCTGAGGTGCTACCTATGCTGGGTTAGCCAATTTATCAGCCCTCGCATTACCTTCCACTATAAAGCCTGGCAAATTGGTGTGACTCCTCACATGCAGAACGCAGAAAGGATGAACCCGAGCCTGAATGGCACACCACAAGGTCTTCAGCAAATGAAACAAGGCAGGGTTACTGACCTCCTTACACCATTGCCAGCATTTGATTATCAAGCGAGCAAAAAGCTCAGACAATGGAGTCGCTGTCTTTTGCGGCTGATGGGGCAGGAAAACCCATTCCAAGATGTGCAAGGAATCAGACCATTTGTCACTCCATTGGCCACTGATGCCTGTGGGATGCGAATCTGGAGCGGTGATGAACACAGTGACATCAATGGAGGGATCAATGTGATAAACTTGGCAAGCCGAAACGGCCTGCTGACCGGCCAGTCCGCAGGGAGCATGGTAGGCGATGGCATGCCCGCCTACAATGTTCCCGTGCCTTCCATCACGGCATTGACCTTTCAGAGGTCTTGCAACAACCTCCATTTCCCAGATTTTTTCTTGATGCAAAAGACAGGAGTGTTCCAGGGACTGGTAGAAGGCTCCAGATGCTCCTGCACCAGATTTCAAAGGGCAACCAATTTATCTTGAGGGAGAGGCCCTGGTTTTCCCAAACAGGTTTGTCCACCAACCACTGTATAGGAGGCGTAGGACACTCTGCACCCTTCATTGCAGTGGCCCCCGTCAAAGGCGAATCTCCGACGGCGTCACACCAGGGATGGACAGGGCACACATCATCTCGGGACGTTCCTTGGTCAGGACAGCAGTCCAGTGCAGTTGAGGCGGCCCAGTGGATCCGAAACCGCTAGCTCCACGCGACCGGTCCGCTGCCCTGCAAACAGAGGACTTAAAGGGCACAAGCTGAGCAAGTCGCGTCCCTTTCGGGATCGTGACAGGGGGGGTGGGTGTGGAAACCATGGCACAAATCTGCCCTGTGAAGTCTGCATCAATGAGCCCCAGATGCACAACGATGCCCCGAAGGGTGGCACTGGACCTCCCCATCAGGAGAGCACTCATGCCCCCACCCAAGGGACCAAAGGCATCCAGGGGAACCTTGTGTACCTGACAAGATTCTAAAACAACTGTTGCTGCTGTGCAGACATTCATCATATGGTTTGGTCTTCCACCCCGACCACACAGAAACATAGGAATCTTTGCCTTCTGTGCTTTCTTCCCCGGTTTCTTGCCACCCTGAGCATTCCCCTGCTGCTCCTGCCAGCCCTGTGGCGCTGCCCAGGCCGGCTGTGCAGCAGTAGCCCAGCCCATCTTCTGAACAGGGGGGCCTATGACCGAACAGGCTTCTGCCATTTGCGAGACAGTAGGCTCACCAGGAAGAGCCTCTATGATTCTCTTACAGTCTGCATTACAATTGCTCCTCGCTAGGTCCACAATCACAGCCTCCCGTGTCAGAGGATTTGTCAGTTGCCTCTCCACTGAGGCAGTCAGCCTCCCCACAAATGTCATGAAAGGCTCATCAGCCTTCTGGACAATGGTTGCAAATGGCTGGCTTGGAGCAGCCATTTCCATGGTCTGAACCACTGCTGACATGCCTAGTGCCTGACACTGCTCAAGCACGGAGGGAGGGAAGCCAGCTTGTCCCTGAGGATCGGTGTAATTGCCTGTGCCCATCAGCATGTCAACGCCAGCCACCCTCCTGGGATCCTGCGGCCCCAGCGCAGCATTGTGCTGCGCTGCGGTGGCTGCCAAGCGAGCCCACTTGGTCTCAAAAACGCCAAACTGCACAGGATCAAAAAGAGCAAGAGCCACATCACGGACATCGGCAGGTGTGCGCACCTCAGGAGAAATCATGCGGAGCATGTGCATGACTTCAGTAGAGCCCAGACCATGTCGAGCAACCGTCTCATAGAGTTTTGTCTTTGTCTTGAAGGACAGAGGCTTGTAAGTGTTATGAGCAAGACCCCTGACCTCAGGGAAAGCCTGGGGGCCTCCTGGCAAGGCTGCAGCACCTGCCATGTCCCGTTCCGTGGGCCCCACGGGAACACCAGCAGCTGCCTGACTGCGATGTGGTGCGACAGCACTCGACCCTGCACCCTCCACAGCACCAGCAGGGCCAGAGGAGCGTCCTCCGTGATCCCGCAGACGCTGCGAGGGGACAGGCTCGCGCACCTCATCGGCCCTGGCTCCGACTTCCCCCCAGAATCGCCTGGGGTCCTTCGGACGCACGGTCACCTGGCACGGGGGAAGAGTCCACACACGCGGCAGGGAGGATCTGCGGCCCCGGGAAAACACCGGTCTCCCGGCGGCCGCGTCAGCAGTCGCGCTAAAGGTGAACACCCCAGCGCCCTGGCGCGCCGCAGCTCCCGCGGAGGGCGGGGACTGCGGGGCCGAGCCGGCTGCTCCCCCGGCAGCGCCGTCCGCCTCGGCACCGGCAGAAGTCGATACGGTGGACGCAGGCGGCAGCACAGACCGCGAACCCGATGCGGAGCCACCCCCTCCCTGCGCGGGGGAGGGACGGGGCGCAGGGAGAGATGTGGCCGGCGGAGCCACGCCAGCGAGGGGCGGCACAAGGGAGGCTGGCACGGCCCCTATCAGCACCCGCCCCAGATCACGGGACGCCGCAGCCGCCTCCGCTAAACAAAGCGAGGCGGGCAGCCCGCCCACCATGATGGAACGTGATGGAACACCGAGCAACGCCCCGCCTCCGGCAGCTTCCACAGAGACAGGAGGAACTGCCCCCCCGGGAGACGGACCACAATCTGGAGCGGGGGTGCCCGCTCCCGCCGCCTCCCGGGGATGTGTTGTGGATTTACCACAATGCGAACAGAACATTGTCACCGAATCAGACCCGAACACAAGCGGACGCTGATCCAGGGGCCCCCCATCGCCCCCGAGCGCCGAGAAGGCACAAGGGGACGGCGGCTGCCCCTCCGCTCCGCCGCCGAGCCGAGCCGACTCCCCGGCACCCCCAGGAGCCCGCGGGCCTCCGCCCTCCGGCTGATCACCCTGGAACGGAGGGCTGGGAGCCCAATCCACCCCCGAGGACCAACCATCACCCTCGGAGGCGGAGCCGTCCTCCAGCTCCCCTTCCTGGGAGGCGGGGGAAGCCTCTGCGTCCCTCGGAACCTCAGATTCCCCTTCGTCCCCATCCGAGACGGACGGGTCTCTCTGGGAATCCTGAGAGCTGCAACATCCAGACCCCCACACAGCCACATACAACCTCCGCCACTGTACCAGCATCAATCTCACGCTGGTAGAACGACCATCAGCCATGAGGCGGCGACCCACGAGAGACCACGTCTCCCTAGAGAACGTCTCCCCAGGGTCGGAAAAGAACCCCTGCTGTTTGGCCCAGTAATACAATCTTTTGAAATCACTCCAGGACACGGAGAGCTCGTTCCCCTCCAGGAACCATCTCCAGATGTCCAAAACCTCAAACTCACTCATGAGACCCACAGGGGTGCTGCTGTCACAGGACAGCAGACCAGCAGGGAAGGGGGCACACAGCACGATCTCACCCGACAGCCCGAACTCTCTGCCTCCAGCCTAGGCTGCAGTACACTTCGGCGGTCACCAGATGTCGCTGTAGGACACAAGACAACACGACGCAGACACCCTGCTGCTCTCAGGCAGGAAAAAAGAGCGTTTACTTTCTGGCTCCTACATTTATAGATTTCCAAAGGTGACAGAGGATTGGAGGGTGAAAGTGCCACCTCTCCAGGGACACTGGACAAACCAACAGTCCATCAAGTTTCTCCTCCTCCATAAAAGAATGCAAAACAATAAGTTGTTTACAGAAAGTGTGTGAGAAAGTTTGATTCAAGAATGCA